CCTAAATGGGAAATAGACCAGAGCAGCAGCTAGATCTCATCGTTTCGAGACAACCGAAGAAAATGAGACAACTGACATTGTCGGGTCCGGGGGTCAAGCCACCTCTGTTGAAAAGACGGTGCACCTCACTGGAAATGCTAGGCCAGGATCTAGGCGACATTGGGCGTGCGGGTTGGCGAGATTTGCCCGAGACGGGAGTCGTCCTTCCAAGATGGGGAAGTCTGAGCGTTGGGATGTTATTACATGTAGCATGGCTGTTGAGTTTCGCGTAGGCCGCTGGCTGATGCCATGGCCAAATGCGAAGAAACGGCATGCCAGGGATTGGCGTGAACGCGCGTGCGGTTCCGTTTTCGTGACAGAGAAGTCGTTGTCGGTGTGGACAAACTTCATGTCATAGGGGAGGTCAAGTATCATCTGATAGATCTTTGATCTGTCGTCACAATATTCCGTGCCGCAAAGAGATCCCCGTGTCCGGGGCTGTTGCCGGAAACCCCACGCACCGACGTAGGAATTGATTTGGTGAAGCTCGGCAGGCCAGGGTAGGCGCCAACATGGATTTTTGCAGTCGTGTCTCGAGCGGACCGCGTTGACCATGTGTCTAGTGTGTCGTCTTTTGATATGCCTTCATACCACAGGTGAGTGAACGGTGGCCTCGGCGGCGGGGCGGGTGGCTCGGTGATTGCATCGCTCACCGCCCCCTCTCGTGTTTCGATGATGAACTCCAGCATGATGTGCCAGTCCCGGGCCGCGTTGCATTCGCCTAGTGGTGCGTGCGCGTGCGGTCAACTGACCGCTGGTGCTGGGCCTTAAATAATGGGTTGACAAGGGGGCCTGATGGGCAAAGGAATTCCGAAGTTGCATCGAGGGTGCATGGTGTGTGCTGAAGTCCTGAAAGATGGAGCTGGGGGTTGGAGTTGTCATTGCGTTTCGTGTTGGCAAGGAGACGTGGGATGACACCTGTTTCCCTGGTGTGTGACCCCCGCATGCCACACAGGCTGTTTCGTTCGAGTAGAGAGTCGGCTCCGATCTCGCCAATTTCCACCCTCCATTTGCCATGAGCCTCGTGGGCATCTGTGCTGGCAATTTCGGGAGTGGCTTCAGGTCAGATCCTGATATACCATACGGAGATTCACGTCCTCGTACAGGCGACTCGTCAACAGATTCGAGGCGCAGCGATCACAGGGAGGAAAGACCCTGTACATGTATGTTCCACGGAAGACGCCCAAAGGGATGCTGTGGACTAGGGGGACTCTTTCTCATCCGATGCGGAATTGTTTTTCTTGAGACAAGCCAAGGCGCCCTGCTCGACATCAGATTTCCAGGCAGCCCGCCGGCGTCTGGAGAACCTCATTGACGCTGAGCCATGCAAACCCTCCGAGGCACCAGAAAAGGGTTTCTCACCGCTCCGGAGAGTCGGCGCATCGGAGTGTCGGCCTTAAGCATGAGACGCAATAGTTCTCCCATAGTATTCACACTTTGAAAGATATTTTGGGTGTAGTAGGAGGCGAAGGGGGGGGGGAAGAGGACTGAACCCCCCCTCCCGTCCCCTCCATTCCCTCCCCCCAAAAAGAGGCCCTGTCCCCCCACAGGCGAAAAAAACTCGAAATGCTGATCCAAGTGTCAGCCGGCAGACCCTTGCTGGCTTGGCGCGTCTAAGCTCCAAGCCTGGCATCGGGGCAAGCCGATACGCTAGAAACCAAATTTAGGAGCGACTCCCGGGGGCCGGTACTCTTGGCGCATCTCGCTTGGCCGCCACGCGCACAGACAAGCTTCTGTGGAAGGCTCTGGCCCACCGTTTCGAAGCCAGATGTGTCGTGAAGAGATCCGAGGAGGACGACCATCCCACGGTCTTGGGTCCCGTGATGGTCGAGTTGCGCAGGGGTAGCTTTGCTCGTGGTCCCTTGTCGCGGGGAGCACTGCCGTGGACGGTAGCTTCTATTGCTTCTGCCAGCCCCGGTCCGGGGCGTCAAAGGCTCCCCGGACAAGCTGATGCTGGTGAGTTTGGTGTGGCGATCTGGCCATGTTCCGCCGCAATGTAATGTCCGGCAACGGAGGAGCAGAGGGCAGAAGGGTAGGCAGGGTGGAAAGGCGAGCAACGGTGCGACGGTCAGACCACCACTGGTGAACGGAAAGTTGATTGATCGGCACGCACTCCAACGGCCGGTTGCGAAACGGGTTTCGGTACATTGTTTGACTGCCTTGAGTGGAAACGTCTGGTGTGTGCTGCAAGCTTGGTGCTGCAGTAGGAGAGGAGCGAGGTGACGACAAGTAGGTGGGTTCAGTCACAAGTTGCAAGAATGGCGAGATAAGAAGAGGGCCGACTTGGCAGCATCAGGGCTTGTCTGACCTCCCCACCTCGAACAGTGTGCTATGCATCAGAGCCATGGCAGAGAAATAGATTGCGAGGCCGTCGTCAGGGTGGAGATGATAGACGTAGCTGTAGTTGTCGACGGGCAAAGAATGCCTTTTTTTTTTCTTGAAAATTCTGGGGCATCTTGACTGACATGCGTCATGGCTGTTTGGTGTTGAGCAGCAAGAGCAGCGGGAAAGCGCCAGGAAGCTTCGATGCAGCGGACGTGCGTGCAGGTGCAGGTGCATGGTGTGGTGAGGTGGCCTCTGCCCCTCTTCGAACGCAGCTATCATGGCGAGACTCCACAGGCGAAGCTCCCCCTGTAAGTCCCCTGGAGCAGGCTCGCTGGCATGCCGACCCTCCTGCGCTCCGCGAGCGGTAGCCATTTCTTCTCCCCCCTCTACTCACCACCCCCCAAAGCCCAAGTACCTATTCTGTTGAGTCGGACGAGGGCAAGTCGAGTCACACGAGCTCTCATGGCCTCGTCAAGCTCATCCAGGTTGCAATGCAAGCATAACGAGCAATAGGAGGGCAAGGCGCAACCCTTTCGGTTTGCAGACGTAGATCTGGAAAACTGCAAAAATCTGTCCCCATTATTTGAAAGAGCCCCTTTCGGTGACGGCATTCTGGAGTCGCCCCCCATCCCATGCCCACTTAGTCCTCTAGTCCCAACTTTTTTTTTTGCCTTCGCCTTCGCCTTCGCCGCTGGCGTAGCCCTTTGCCGCTTGCCCGCCTTGCCTGGACCCCCCCGTCACTCCCTTCCTCCTCCCCTCCCCCCTTCCGCTCCGCTCCCACGATTCAATCTCAGCCCCGGCACGTATAAGGTAGCCAATACGGTAGTCCGACGGTGGCACCCACGCCGTTGCCGTTGGGCGGCGCCAGATGAGATTGATTATGCCACTGTGATGCTAGCGCCCAAGCCCAGGTCCAGCCCTGGCCCAAGCAAGCCTCCCTGTCAGGGCGACTGAAGTCAGGCACAACTGATGGTAGTGACACACACATACGCTGCCGGCCACGGCCACCACGGCTGGCACGTTCCCATTGTCTTCTCATCGCTGGTTGCTGTTTAGCTCCGTCTCATCCGGCCCACGGCCGCCACCCCCCATGTTTTCACCCCCCCCCCTTTCCATCCAAACCGTCTTGGGCCCAAGCCAGCCTAG